CACTGCCCTGAACCCGATACAGCCCTAAAAGGGTGATAGATATTTGTAAAGAGACTTATGTTTGCTAAATACCTTAAGAACCCAAAACCCACTTTTTTGTAGGTTCTTATTATAAACCCTACTATGGGATTTACAGGGACCCTACAAAAAAGTAGGTTTTGGGTTCTTAAGGTAGTGTAGGTAACCGAATTAAACCATCTACATGTTGAATCTTGCCTGAGGTCTTCATGACTTCATGAATTGCACAGGACTTTGGGGCATGTTCTACTGTAGTAACAAAAGGGACCCAAATTAAGGAAGAGTATCACCAATTAGTCAGGCTCAAACAGCATGTTCTACTGTAGTAACAAAAGGGACCTAGATTGAGGAAGAGTATCACCAATTAGTCAGGCTTTCAAACAGAAGTAAAACCTAGGGTTGGTTTAATTCAAAAGGGTTTCCACACTATTTCTGCCAAGTATTGTTTCAGGGGTGAGTGTAAAGGTGCTGGCAAAATTGTACACCCTAAACCTTACATTCCAAATTCTAATAAGCTTTAGATCCTAAACTACAAACCCTAGGTTTCCGGGTAGAGGTCCGGATAGACAGACAAAGGCTGCCACGTGCACTGAGCATCCTGGGATGGGGGCAGGTCTCTACCTCTGGCACATGAAACGCGCGAGTTCGCGACTACCTGCGACGACCTGTGCCCGACAGGAGACGAACAAAAATGGAGTCTAAATCCACAGCCTGCGGCCAGAACCTTTAAAATGTCTAAATCCAAAACTTAAATCCAAACACCCCACAACCCACGAAGCTTGAATCAACCCTGCGATGCCCCGTGAATCCTGTTGAAGCCCTATCAAAGCCCCATACAAACCCTCTCAAAACCCTATAAAACCCATCAAAACTCTTTAACACCCTATCAAAACCCTATAAGACCATAAAAACCCTATAAAACCCTATCAAAACCCTGATAGTCTGATAGTCCTTCAAGCCGTAGCAGGACCCTGAAGGGAATCCCAAGTCCTGATCCGCAACCCCAGGCTCCAGATCCAATGCACCATAAACCCTACAAGCCCTAAGCCCTAGACTCTATAAGCCCTATAAGCCCTAGACCCTATAAGCCCTAAAAACCCTAGACCCTAAAGCCCTATACACCCTATAAGCCCTAGACCCTATCAACCCTAAAACCCTATAAACCCTATAAACCCTATAAGCCCTAGACCCTAAACCCTAACCAGCCTAAAGTGAAACCTGGAAGCGCTGAACCCTGAAGCCAAAGTCAGCCTTGATCGATTTCTAAGAAACCTGAAGCATGCACCCTAAGACTTGCTGTGGATGATATGTATCCTTCATTGCCTTAAGGACTTAAGGGCCCTAAACTATGGGAATTATGGTGTATATTCCTAATTATGGGTACTGCAGGGTGTATATCACCAACCGTATTGCCCCTATAAGAACAATCTTCGCCGTAAGCCATAGTTCTTGTAGCTGCCGAAATCATCAAGCAACAACTATGGATATCTGCATCCCGGGATTCACTCCTAATTCGCAAGCAGCATTCCAGTTCAGGGATGTAGGGTTGCAGTTTTCTGTTCTGGTTTTCAGTGTTGCAGCTTAGGCTTAAGGATGCCTCTTGGTGGACTTCTGAAGCCCTTTCAAAAGTAAAACCCTTACTTCCCTGATTAAAGTTCATAGAGACACCCCAAAATGTTAAAGTCAACGCCAAGGCCTTCTGTCCATCCCTGAAGACGGTGAAGGTGGTCTTGTCACCAATGCCCTTATTCCGCAGCAGGTACCTCAGGACTGACCGTGAACCCTATAGGCCCCCTTTTTCTCTACAAGCCCAAACCCAAAACCGTAAACCGCAAACTCCAGAACTCACGACCCTGAACCCCAAACTCAAAGCTGAGAAACCTAAACTCCAAAACACCAAACCCGAGATTGCAAAACCCTATAAACCCAAAACACCAAACCCGAAACTCAGTAGAACTCTGGGGCCAGGGAACTTATGGGTCTAGGTCTAGGACTTAATGCATCTGTGCTCTGCCGGCAGCCTTGCAGCCAACTATGAATCCCGAACACACCCGAAGACCGGATGATCACCACTTCATTGAAGGCGTTTTGCTTGGTGATTTTATGGTTAGTTTAATCCAAGTACCCAATAATCATATACTCTCCCAAATATTGATCTAGATATAACAAGTACTATCCGCGACCAAAGTACCTTGTTATTGGGTCCTTTGGACCCTTAGGGTAAGGGTTTAGGGCTTCAAGTCCTTGGGATCCTCCAAGCTTTGGGCTTTTGATTCCCGGGGCCTACCCTGGAAAGCGAGGACTCTGCAAAACATAGGGGCCTTGTTTTCAATTCGCAGCTGTGGGCTTATATGGGGTTTTCGGGATGTGGGTTGCAGGGTTTTTTTCGGGATGTGGGTTGCAGGGTATCCTGATCAGTGCAGTTTTCTGTTGTTTGGGATTTCGGCTTGTCGTGTTCAGGGCTTCGAAGGCACAAGCTTGGGCTTCCCGGTTTCCGCGGATGGTGGCTTAGTATCGTGGGTTTTACGGTTGAGGCGTTGCAGGTTTGGGGTTGTGGATTTTGAGCCTATCCTCGTGCCCACCATCCTTGACCTCGAACCCATATAGCCGATATTCACACTCAACCCCGCAAACTCACCACGACAGCGACGAGCTCTTCTTCTATTACTACTGCTCCTGCTACTGACTGCCACTGCCACTGCCACTGCCACTGCCACTGCCACTGCCACTGCCCCTGCCCCTGCCCCTGCCCCTGCCCCTGCCCCTGCCCCTGCCCCTGCCGCTGCCGCTGCCGCTGCCGCTGCCGCTGCCGCTGCTGCTGCTGCTGCTGCTGCTACTGCTACTACTGC